AGAGAGGATCCATGTATGAATACAAAGTGTAGACTTTGGAAGAACTACTTGATGGACGTAAGGTTGTTGAGTATAGATGGATTTTAAAAGGAAGACGGACAATGATGGTAAATATCACCATTAAGAAAGCTCTACTTGTGGTTAAGATGATTTCTGACAAGTTCAAGGAGTTGACTACGGTGAGGCTTTCTCACTCGTAGCGATGCTAAGAGTCTGTTGGAATTGGATTAGCAGTTACTGCATTATTTATGAAATCTTGCAGGTAGGATGTCAAAACATTGTTTCCTCGACAATTTTCTTGAGGGAAGGTTGTATGTGATACAACCAGAAGGTTTTGACAAATCCTGAAAGACACTAACAAGTATGCAAAGCTCCAGCAATCCTTCTAAGGACTGAGGTAAGCATCTCGGAGTTGGACTGTACGCTTTGATGAGATGATCAAAGATTTTGGGTTTATACAAAGTTTATGAGAAACTTGTATTTCCAAAGAAGTGAGTGGGAGCACTACAGAATTTCTGATAAGTATATGTGAATGACATAATGTTGATCCGAAATGATGTATAATTTCTGGAAAGCATATAGGGTTATTTGAAAAGTGTTTTTCAATAGAAAGCCTGAATTAAGTTGCTTGAACATTGAGCATCAAGATCTATGAGGATAGATCAAAAACGCTAAATGGTACTTTCAAATGAGCACATACCTTGACATGATCTTGAAGGTGTTCAAGATGGATCAGTCAAAGAAGGATTTCTTGCCTGAGTTGTAAGGTATGAAGTTAAGACTTAAAGCTCGACCACGGCAGAAGAAAGAGGAAGGACGAAGGTCATCCCATATGCTTTTGACATAGGCTCTATACGGTATGCCATGCTGAGTACCGCACCTGATGTGTGCCTTGCCACATGTCTGGCAAGAGGGTACAAAGGTGATCCAGGAGTGGATCACTAGATAGCGGTCAAAATTATCCTTAGAGGAATAAGGAAATGTTTCTCGATTATGGAGGTAATAAAGAGTTCGGCGTAAAGGGTTACGTCGATGCAAGCTTTAACACCTATCCGAATGACACTGAGTAGCAAACCGGATACGTATAGTGGAGCAACCATTTGGAATAGCTCCAAGTGGAGCGTGGAAGCAACATTTACAATATGACCTAGAGATTTGCGAAATACATACGAATCTGAATGTTGCAGACCCGTTGACTAAAACCTCTCTCACAAGCAAAACATGATCAAACCCCAGAACTCATTGAGTCTTAATCACATGGTGATGTGAACTAGTTTAGTGACACTAGTAAACTCTTTGGATGTTGGTCACATGGCGATGTGACCTATCAGTGTTAATCACATGGCGATGTGAACTAGATTATTGACTCTAGTGCAAGTGGGAGACTGTTGGAAATATGCCCTAGAGGCAATAATAAATTAGTTATTATTATTATATTTCCTTGTTCATGATAATTGTTTATTATCCATGCTATAATTGTATTCATAGGAAACTCAGATACATGTGTGGGTACATAGACAACACCATGTCCCTAGTAAGCCTCTAATTGACTAGCTCGTTGATCAATAGATGGTTACGGTTTCCTGACCATGGACATTGGATGTCGTTGATAACGGGATCACATCATTAGGAGAATGATGTGATGGACAAGACCCAATCCTAAGCCTAGCACAAAGATCGTGTAGTTCGTATGTTAAAGCTTTTCCAATGTCAAGTATCTCCGAAAGTGTCTGTTGGGTTGGCACGAATCGAGACTGGGATTTGTCACTCCATGTAATGGAGAGGTGTCTCTGGGCCCACTGGATAGGACATCATCATAATGTGCACAATGTGACCAAGGGGTTGATCACGGGATGATGTGTTACGGAACAAGTAAAGAGACTTGCCGGTAACAAGATTGAACAAGGTATCGGCATACCAACGATCGAATCTCGGGCAAGTACAACACCGCTAGACAAAGGGAATTGTATACGGGATTGACTGAATCCTCGACATCGTGGTTCATCCGATGAGATCATCGTGGAACATGTGGGAGCCAACATGGGTATCCAGATCCAGCTGTTGGTTATTGACCAGAGAACGTCTCGGTCATGTCTGCATGGTTCCCGAACCCGTAGGGTCTACACACTTAAGGTTCGATGACGCTAGGGTTATAGGGAATAGAAATACGTGGTTACCGAAAGTTGTTTGGAGTCCCGGATGAGATCTCGGACGTCACGAGGAGTTTCGGAATGGTCCGGAGGTAAAGATTTATATATGGGAAGTCCTGGTTTGGTCGCCAGAAAAGTTTGGGGTGCTATCAGTAACGTACCAGGACCACCGAGAGGGTCCCGGGGGTCCACCAAGTGGGGCCACCGGCCCCAGAGGGTAGCATGGGCCAAGTGTGGGAGGGGACCAGCCCCAGGTGGACTGGTGCGCCCCCCCCCCACGAGGGCCCAAGGCGCCTAGGGTTTGGGGAGGGGGCGCCTCCACCTTGCTTGGGGGGCAAGTTTCCCCCTCTCCCCCCCTTGGCCGCCATGCTAGATGGGTTTTTGGGGCAGCCGCACCCCTTGGGGTGGGAACCCTAAGGAGCGAGCAGCCCCCCTCCCTCTCCCCTATATATACTTGAGGTTTTGGGGCTGCCATACACAAGAGTTTCGACCTCTCCCTGGTGCAGCCCTACCTCTCTTTCTCCTCTTCTCTCGTGGTGCTTGGCGAAGCCCTGCTGGAATACCATGCTCCTCCATCACCACCACGCCGTTGTGCTCCTGCTGGACGGAGTCTTCCCCAACCTCTTCCTCTCTCCTTGCTGGATCAAGGCATGGGAGACATCATCGGGCTGCACGTGTGTTGAACGCGGAGGTGCCGTCCGTTCGGCACTAGGATCTCCGGTGATTTGGATCACGACGAGTACGACTCCTTCAACCCCGTTCTCTTGAACGCTTCCGCTTAGCGATCTACAAGGGTATGTAGATGCACTCTCCTCTCTCTCGTTGCTAGTCTCTCCATAGATAGATCTTGGTGACTCGTAGGAAAATTTTGAATTTCTGCTACGTTCCCCAACAGATTTAAGCAGAGGTATGGACTATATTATGAGGATACATTTAGTCCTGTTGTTAATGCTGCGACCATTCGTCTTGTTCTCTCTATTACGGTGTCCAGAGGATGGAGTCTTCACCAGCTAGATGTACAGAATGCGTTTCTTCACGGTGTTCTGGAAGAGGAAGTGTATATGAAGCAACCTCCTGGCTTTGTGCATCCTGGCAAGCCCTCTCATATCTGCAGACTTGATAAATCTTTTTATGGACTGAAGCAGGCCCCACGAGCATGGTACTCTCGCTTGAGCATGAAGTTGCAAACTCTTGGTTTTCTTCCCTCCAAGTCTGACACATCCCTGTTTATTTACAAGAAATCCAACATAGTCATTTTTGTGCTTATTTATGTTGATGATATCATTGTCACTAGTTCATCTCCTGAGGCAGTGACTGCTCTTCTGCATGATTTGAACTCAGATTTTACTCTCAAAGATCTTGGGGACTTGCATTTCTTTATTGGCATTGAGGTCAAACGAACTCCAGAAGGTGGTCTTCATCTGTCTCAAGAAAAATATGCAACTGATCTTTTGAGCAAGGCAGGGTTGCAAGGCTGTAAACCATCTCCAACACCACTCTCCTGTTCTGAAAAATTGTCTCTCACAGAGGGTACTCTCTTGAATCAAGAGGATGGAACTAAGTACAGAAGCTTGGTAGGTGCTCTTCAGTACTTGACGCTTACCAGACCTGATATCTCCTTTGCAGTAAATAAAGTGTGTCAGTTTCTTCATGCACCCACAACAGCCCATTTGACTGCTGCTAAACGCATCCTCAAATATGTGAAACATACTTTGGGTGTTGGCCTCATGTTCAACAAGTCATCTTCCACTCTTGTTAGTGCCTTTTCTGATTCTGACTGGGCTGGATGCTTGGATGATAGGAGATCAACAGGTGGTTTTGCAGTTTTCTTTGGACCCAGCCTGATCTCATGGTGTGCAAAGAAACAGGCAACAATGTCAAGATCAGGTACCGAGGCGGAATATAAGGCTTTGGCAAATGCAACAGCAGAAATCATATGGGTTAAGTCTATGCTCAAGGAGCTTGGTATTTTTCCCACACAAACTCCGTGTCTTTGGTGTGCCAATCTTGGTGCTACATATCTTTCTACTAATCATGTTTTTCATGCAAGAACTAAACACATTGAGATTGACTATCATTTTGTGCGGGAAAGAGTTGCTTCCAAAGAGTTGGAGATTCGGTTTGTTTCCTCCAAAGATCAAGTTGCCGATGGCTTTACAAAAGCTTTATCCACAAGACCATTTGAAGAATTCAAGCATAATCTAAACTTGCAAAGTTTAGAAGTTTAGATTAAGGGAGGGTGTTAAACATGATTATGTAATGGTCTTGTAAACCCTGGTTGTAGCGATCTCTATTCTGGTCATATCTAGGCGTGAGGTTCACGTATAGGATAGATTAGTTGTAGAGGGACTCTCCTTTTATCTCTCTCTCTCATCTATCTGGATTCCCTCTTGTAATCTTTCTGGTCTCCTCAACCGACTCATGTAATACCTCGAGGGAAACCTCTCGCTATCAATATAAGATCACGCGGCCCTCTTTGTTGAGGGTTGAGACGCTTCATCATCAACTTACATGTTGGATAGGGTGTGAATAATGTTACAAATAATTAAGGTATTTCCAATCCGCAAAAAAATGAAGCTTCTTTTCATGAATTCTAGAAAACATGTATATTTCCATCATCTTCGGCATGGCAACAGATCCCAGGTAATCCACGTAACTAACGACTCAAAGTATGACTGAAATTTGAAAACAAAGATATTGATTACATCTTAATAAACTCTTTGAATGCTGCAAACCGTTTATTTATTATTTAATTATTTTGAAAAAAATGACAACCCTAGCTTCTACAGTACATCAATTGCAATGCACACAACCATCAACCATTTATTATTTACCGGTTTGCTTGTATCGTCAAGCCAGCAGCACCTCATGGATGAGCCTATCAACATTGCGCATGGACCTTCCGTCATGCCGCGCTGAGGCAACAGCGCTCTCCTGGAGCTTTAGCGCACGCCGTCGCATCTCTTGCCCCTTCTCCCCCTCCATGGCCTCCCGCAGAATGGCCTTGACCTCGGTCCTTGTCACCTCTTCCCCAATCTCCATCCAGATACCCCACTCGGTGCACTTGTACCGGCAGTTGGTCTGCTGCTCCGTGAAGAAGGGCCAGCACACCATCGGCACACCGCCGCAGATGCCTTCCAACGATGAGTTCCACCCGGAGTGTGTGAGAAACACCCCTACAGCCTCGTGCTCCAGCACCTTCTCCTGCGGGCACCATGGCGAGAGCATGCTTCGCCCCTTCGTCGCCGCGGAGAACTCCGGCAGATGTACGGCGTTGTCGTGGCCCTTGACAAGGTCCGGCCGTACATTCCACAAGAAGGTGTAGCCGCTGTTGGCCAGCCCCCAGGCGAATTCCAGCAGATGCTCATTTGACATCACCGTGATGCTCCCAAAATTGACATACACCACTGAGCGCGGCGGCTGGTCGTCGAGCCACCGGAGAGGCTCGTCCTGTTCCTTTCAAAGATTGGAGCCGATGCCAAGGAGAGGGCTATCCTCGGGCACGTTGTTGCGAACTGTCAGATGGAGTGGCCCCACCGTGTAGATGGGCGGTAGGAACTTAGACATGGCATCAAGCAAGGGTGCGTCGAGCTCATCAAAGGTGTTGATGATCACCGCCGATGCCTGCGACATGGCGGTCGTCTCGTGGATGAAGAAGTTGAACATGATGTCATCGGGGTCCGTGGTGCGCACGAAGCTTTGGAGGTCACGCAGCCGCAGGTCCTTGGGCATCGACGGAATCCAGTTTATGATCGTGTCCAAGTATCCATTGGTCAACTGCGCCTCTTCTGCACCAACAACAAATTAATTGCAGTAAGTACGTTGCAACTAATTTAAGTTCTTCTGATGCAATAAAACCAGGAATGCAGAACAACATACTACACCAAAAACATGCTCAACCCTTTGAGAGGGAAGAGAGACCACACAACATGTTCTTGCTAGTTGCAGAAAGCTGATATGTTGTAACAGAGACAAGCATGCATACCTTTGAGAGGGAAGAGGCCACGCTCGACTAGACCCTTGTAGTAGCAGTAGGCTAGCCCATGAAACCACATGCGCTGGGGGCCCAGAACGTGGCGCAGCGGAGGCCGAGCTCGCGCGCGGCGACAAGAGCGAAACACATTGTGCCATCGGCCACCACGCAGGTCACAGGCGGCAGCGCGCCGCCGGAGGTCCGGGCCTCCTCGTTGAGCTTGATGATGAGCTCCTTGAGCCTCGGGAGGCAAGTCGTCATGGTAGAGTAGGACAGCGCAGCGGTGTCCTGCGTGGCCTCACGGTCGGACGGCGGAAGGCCGTCGGCGATGGCATCGAACCGGAACGCGGGCAGGCCACGTAGCTTGTCGGCAGACTGGGAGCGCAGCAGGCGGCGGTGGTTGAACTCGTTGTTGACGAAGGTGACGCGGAAGCCCCTGGTGTGGAGCAGCTTGGCCAGCTTCAGCATCGGCGTGATGTGGCCCTGCGCCGGGTAGGGGATCATCACGGCGTGCGGCCGCTCAACTGCCGGCCCGCCAACGACCCCATCCCTCCTTATGCCTTGCTCTCGAAATGCCTCACCTGCTTGCTGCCTCACCTGGCTCTCTCGTTCACAAGTCGCAACGTTGTGGGTGTGGCTGTGCACATCTGCTCCTGACATGTTGGTATATATATAGTACTCCCTCCGTCCGAGAATACTTGTCATCAAAATGAATAAAAGATGATGTATTTAGATGTATTTTAGTTCTAGATACAACTCTTTTTATTCATTTTGATGACAAGTATTTTCGGACGGAGGGAGTATAAGAAACAGCTTTGAAATGAAAAAAAATTGTGAGACTTTAGGTCGTTAGCTTTAGGGATAGAAAACGAATCAGACAAAATCAAGTCACAACGTGCCCACCAGCAGCTCAAGATGCTAATTTGATCTTGAAAGGATTAATTAATTGGTTACTAATTGTGTCGGTTCTCTAGTTTATACTTGTTGTGGAGCATGAATCATGTGGACCGAGATCACAATAGTTTGACTTGAAGAAGGTTGTGTGATCTGCCAGCACATTACGCTTCATTGGTTGAAGATAATTATCTTTAGTTTTTATTGTATTGTGGACCATGCAACACGTGGCTCCACGCACACGCTAAGGACGCGACGCGTTCCCTTTCCAGCAAGCTACACTGCATTAAGTTAAAAAATGGGAGCAACTATAGGTCACAGGTTTGCATGCCTGTATATCAGGTTCCTTTCAGAAATGAAACTGGCGCGGAAAAGAACAAAAGTGAAAAAAGAGGAAAAGGAAGGATAAGGACAACGTAAAACGTCTTCCTCCCCTACCCCTTGACGGCTAGCGTAAACTCTTCCCTGCAACCTTCACCAACAAATTCATGGATTCGCCTCCCCTCTACCTGCTGCTCCGAGGTGGAGAGGAGAACCCCGGTGCATCCGGTTAGTAGTTTAGACAGGGGCGAATCGACCATGGAGCATGGGTGTACATATGTACACCCAAATATTTTTGCAAAAAATCATCCATACATGTACATGCATATACGACAGAAATAGGCCCAGTTCAGGACCGGCCTGTTGAACGTGTGCTGCATGTAGGCATGCATGTGTCTAGGCCGTTTGGCACTGTAACATGCTCGCCCTAGTATGTAGCATTGTTCTCCCACGTCTCCTTCCTCTCATCTACTAGCAAGATAACATTCCTTCTGTTTCTAATTAAATATAAATCTTTGTAGAGATTTTAACATGGACTACATGCGGAGCAAAACGAGTGAATTATACTCTAAAATACGTCTATTGCCGGACGTCTCCGGCCGTCACAGAGACATTGCCGAACGTCCACAACCAACACCAACGCGCGCACTCGCCTTTACAACGGCGTTGTCGTGATGTACCACAGGATAGAGAGATGGCCATTTACACACACACACCGTTGGATGAAGCTGAAGGAGAAGTATGTGTGGGAGAACATGATCTGTTGATGAAAAACTTGTTGGACATCTAGTTAATCTAATCGAATTTGAGACATTGTGTTCCTAGACTTAATTTGCATGCTATGTATGAATGATTTGTGCTATTTTCTATCCGAAATTTGATAAATATCGACCGGTTTGAACGAATTTAGTCTGTTTTGTTTCAATAGTAGTTGAATGTATGCGGGCAGCATTGGATGGCGGCCTCCCGCATGGACTGATCTCTATCTGCGATAGATGCCGGAGGAAATTTATGGCTCGCCATTGGAGATGCCCTTATAATAACCTTGTTTACAAGCTTCTCAAATTGTTCTAATCCTACTAGCAACAACTAGAGTTGAGAGAGTATTATGCTCAATGACTTTTCGGAAAAACAAGTTACCGAACCATTTATATTTTGTATTTCTATTACCGTGAACAAATGGCCTTTTCTATTAGGGTGCAAAAAAATTTGAATACCCAATGTTGAATTCCTGGATCCGCCACTGAGTTTAGGTTAGGTATTTTAGCCTCGCAGGTGCGACGCTCGGGTGGAAGGCAGCGCTTCTTCTTCGAGTTTGTCTTTCGGGCTCCGATCCTCCTCGAGTTTACTTGTTTTATTATCAAACCTTTGGGAGTTACTTCTACGTTTGCTTATATTGCTATGCTATACTAGTAGCGTGGATTGGGTGAGTGTATCCATGACAGATGTGAGATTGTTATTTAATGGTTTACTTAAGGTGGCAACTTAAAGTTACATCTGGGTGGACTGAGGCACCTGGGGAATCCAATGTTGCCTGTATTTTTGGAAATCCCGGGGTACCGTGTGATTCTCCTATGGACCGCCACCCAGGCTCAAAGGGATCATGAGATTATTCATGCTAGAAACTTCCGTGTGCAGCCGCAAGCTACTATGGGCTCTAGCATAGTTGAGTATGTTGCGTGAGCTCTTGAAGAGGTAGACTAGCAGATGTAGGGGATGTAGGTTGGTACTGTCTACCCGGAGTAGAGAGTTAATGCTTCTGAAAGACTGTGTCTCGGTCATCCGTTTTTCAAACACCATGTAGTGCGAGAAATCAAGCGGAGGAGATCGAGTCTTGCGGGGAAAAGTGCACAAACCTCTGCAGAGTGTATAAACTAATCATGGTTAGCCGTGTCCCCGGTTATGGACGTTTTGAGTATCTAGTACTTAGATTATCATGTGAACCTCATCATGTTACTTAATTAAATTTTGTTGGGTTAATAATGATGCTTAATTGGGATTGAGTTAGAGGAACCTTCTCAATGTTTAACAACCACCATGTTAGTTAAATAAAATTTATTTCTTTGTTGTAGGGAAAAATTGGCTTTATGCAAAACTGTAATCATAGAGCTTTCCACCAGCCATATATGCATGTAGTGATAGCATTATTCTGTTCATTACTCTCTATGTGTTACATTGCCAGCATATTCCATGTGCTGACCCGTTTTCGGGCTGCAACGTTCATGTTGCAGACTTTTCAGACGACGAGTAAGGTGCCTTAGGTCGTGATCTTATACTCAGTGATGCCGTTGGAGTTGATGGACTCGCTTATCTTCCAAGCCTTCCGCTATTATCGTATTTAGATGGCCTTAAGCCATATTTATTGTAATAAGTTCTCTTTTGAGACATTCGATGTAATGAGTGTGTGATTGCTACTCTGTTATAAATCCTTCAAGTACAGTGCGTGTCAGCATTACCGATCCAGGGATGACACGGATGCACAGAGATCATACTGTTTGAGATGTGGTCGCTACAAGATGGTATCAGAGCCCATGCTGACTGTAGGACACGACCACTAAGCTAAAGCCCTAGATCACTACTCTCTCTTCTCATTTCTGACTCCTCATCTTTTCTACTCTTTTAGGATGGCGGATGCAAGGAACAAGTTCACGCAACCGGATGAAGATACACCTTTTGGACGCCACTTGAAGGAAGTTACTAGATACCTGAACATCGGAGTACCAAGCTTCACCGGGACCTACATCGCCACTTTACCCGAAGAGAAGCGTTGGATGATTCAAGTTCAAGTTTCAGGAGGACGTTCATGCTCGTCACTGAGCCCATAGAGTTTTCCTTTGATGCACCAACCTGGAGTCTAGGAAAGAGCATGTCAGCCCACATCACAATGGGACGCATTGGAGAAGTTTACCACAAGGATCTCAAGGATACTATCTACCAGATTTGTGGGCGCCGAGATTAGCAATGGGAGATGATCGGCACCAGGAAGGATAGATCAATTGCAGCTTTCATCCAGGAGTTAAACCAGCACATTCGTCGCCAGGAGAACCAGATGTGCGCAGGCATGATAGATCTAAAGAAGGCTATGACCAAGATCATGGAGCTGGAGGAAGAACTTAAATCTACATGCGGTGGATATGAGGAGGAAATAACGACGCTCGTGGAGAAGAATGAAGATCTGAAGAAGAAGCTAAAAGTATTTATGGGATTCCCCGCGACTGGAGGAGAAGACTGTGATTGCACTTGCCCGGAGAACTACATCATCATCGACGACACCGACTCGTACCCAGATGATAGCGATGATGACTTTGTTGATGAAGCTGGAGCATATATCATGGAGTCTTCAACCGATCAATTTTTCTAGTCGACCACCATAACAGTAGTAGTATTCCCCCATGTAAATAATATAGTTCGAGCACTTTTGTAATGATAGTTAGACCGTTGTATGCCCTTGCTTGAATTGATTGAAGTGATATTGTTTGCAATTGTCTCATGTGCATATGGGTAGTGTTTTTCTCCTTAGACATCTTTCTATTCTATATTCTCATCTTTTCTAAACCCTCAGATGCCTCCGAGATGTGACAATGGATTTTCTTTCCCACCGGAGCTCACCCAGTTGATCCAGTAGCAGAATGCATTTGATGCAGATGCTAGTCCAGAATCAGAATCAGGGGAACAACAACAACAACAACAACAACAACAACAACAACAACAACAACAACAACAACAACAACAACCCACCACCACCACTTGTTGATCACTTAGCCCGTTTCTTGAGGCTAAATCCGCTGATGTTTTCCAGTAGCACCGAGCCGATAGTTGCATATGATTGGCTCCAGAAGATGGGGAGGGAGTTGACCACTGCAGTAT